AAATTGATAGGGTTAGCTAGAGTTAGCAGTTTTTCTTGCTTTGTTTTACGCACATCGATACTTGACACGTTTAGTTTTCTACACATTTATTTGATTATTTATGTTGCCTACTGCTGATAACTGCAGTAACCATATATTACATTAGCGAGATATGCTGCTTGCTTAGCCACACCTGCTAAGCGTAACACGCCAAGGCAGTGTTCCGACTACGTCGTCAGAGCAAGAATGCTGCATCTCTAAATACCGGGCATGCAACCTCGCACAACATTCCGTGCATGTTGGATCCTCCTTTGGTCGAAATAAAAAGAGAGAAAACGAGCTTTGCAACAGAATATGCGAGCGTCGAAGGAGAAGCATACATACAAGAGCCACAAACAGCGTCAGAGAGAAACAGCCACAAAGTGAAGCTATCCGCCGACATGAGATTCTACCGATCTTCAGCAGAGCCACAAATTCACGCTTCTTCAAGTTCCAGGTGTAGCAGCTTTTTTAATCATTTTACTGCATTTCTAGGTTCATAAACTAGCCATAATAACTGCAATTCAGTGAGCAGATGCAGTTCATACAGTAAGCAGAAGACGTGACGCGAAATAATACATGTGGAGGGGCTAAGCGCCCTTGGTATTGGCTGAGGGGCCTGTAGCCTCCACAGTGTTGAAAGGAACTTCTGAAACAGAGTATAAAAACGTAACGCCAAAAAAAAAAAAAAAAAACACCACCAGAAAAGACGCCACATGAGGTTCAGCGTTAGTGATGCCCACGAAGGTATCCAAGAGGCAGGTTAAAAGGTCAAACTCTGAAAAGCGGAGTGTTTTTACACGCACTACCAATTAAAAATATCAACTGCACCATTCTTGCTCCAAGAAAATCGCTCATACACAATAACGAAAATACAAGTGGCGTTCTACCACCTTGAAGCTCCCGCACAAACTCCATGTGGCATCAGACTCATGGAGTTCTTTGTTGGCAAAAATGAGTCACACTGTGTTCGAAAGAGCACAAACATATTATTAGCCACGTGGAATTCGCAGTCGTTTAGACTGTTCAACTGGTTCACTCAGTGTCCAGAAAATGGCTGCGAAAAGAAAGGCAGCACAGCCATCTTGTCTGTGGTTCTTAAAGACGATAGTTTTTCTTGGGGACCTTCGAAGCAAAAATTTTGGCCTGTCTGTCTGTCGGTTTGTCTGTCTGTACATTCATCTGTCCGCGCTAACAATATCCTAAACGGCACCCAACAATGCGACAATCAGCCAACCCCATCCGCTACACCCACTAATAGTGCTCAAGATACAGCGTTCATACTTGTGCAATTGTCAATTAGAAAGCAATCATTTCGCTTATAAGAGGCACCGTAACAATGCGTCAATGTTCTGTATGAGTGTCTTTTTACTTGAAAAGGCATACATACCGTATTTACTCGATTCTACCGCGCCCTCGATTGTAACGCGCACCCGATTTTCATGATGGAAAAAAAAGTAAGACATCGACTGCAACGCGCGCACCCATTTTTCTCGCCGGCCCGCATGATCACACCACTAGAAAAAACGACTCCTTTCGGGAGCGTCTTCCATTTAAATATGAGGTACGGGGGAAGCTTGAGTCCATCTGATGTGTAACAGAACATTGCCGTCACTGTAGTTTTACCGTGGATCGATGTCAACACGCGAACTTGCTTCGCCCCCTTCTTCTCGACAGTTGTGGTGCCAGGCATGTCCAAGAGGCATCTGATCGGCATACCTGATTTGCCCGAGCAGGTAGCTGTTGTTGTGCCACAAGTTTAGGACGAACCTGTGAAAACTGTGAAGCTTTTCATCGCACTCCTCCGCAAAACTTTTCGCATATGAAGATACTTTCGCATATTTCGGATACTAGATCGTTCTACAACGATCTAGTATCCGAAATTGATCTAGGTGGGCAAACAGACTGCATCTTTTTAGATTTCAGTAAAGCTTTCGACACTGTTTCGCATCCTCTGCTCCTCGAAAAATTACGAATATTTAATATAGATGAGAGAATTTTTAATTGGATAGAGAATTACCTGTCACAACGCCGCCAATGTGTTGTCCTGAATGGTACTAAGTCGGAATTTCTAGAGGTCACTTCGGGCGTCCCCCAGGGATCTGTATTGGGGCCTCTGCTATTCATAATTTTTATAAATGACATTAACAAAGATATAAGCTCAAGTATACGGCTCTTTGCTGATGATTGCGTAGTCTACAGAAAAATTCAGAAAGAACATGATGTCCTTGAATTGCAGGCTGATCTTGAACGTATTCATCAATGGTGCCTTAAGTGGCAAATGAAGTTAAACACAAATAAGTGCGTTCATGTGTGTTTTACAAAGAAGAAAAAAATATTTGATGCAAATTTTTGTCTAGGAGGAAATAAATTAGATAAAAAATACTCGTACAAATATTTGGGTGTATTGCTGTCGCATGATTGTTCCTGGAATGCACATGTGGATTATGTGGTTTCCAAAGCCGCGATAGCGTTGAATTATATTCAAAGGAATTTGAGATGTGCAGATCCTAACCTTAGAAGCACGGCCTACCTCACTTGTATTCGTCCAATCTTGGAGTATGCCTGTACTCTTTGGGACCCAACACAAACAGGTTTGATAAATAAATTAGAAAAAATACAAAACAGAGCAGCCAGGTTTGTTTTGGGTCGGTACGGACAAAAGCAGAGTTGTACCGAAATGAAAAAGGAGTTAAACTGGGAGTTACTGTCGTCCCGTCGCAAAAAATTGCGTTTGAAGCTTTTATACCAGATATTTCATAAAAAAACGGGACTAGACAGCGACACTTACTTAAAAAGACCAGATTACATATCTCAACGTACAGACCACATACACAAAATAAAGCCGTGCCGGGCCAGGACGAACCTGTATTCAAACTCGTTTTTTGTTAAAACTATTAACGAATGGAATTGTTTGACATCTAAGCAAGTGTGCAGTGTTAATGAAGATGTATTTTTTTCAACTTTGTAACCCCCCTGCTGTAACGCCTCTGGCAAAGCGGGGATATGTATGAATAAAGAATATGCCCGTTCACCTTCGGAGGGAAAAGCCTTTCCTCTTCATAAAGTTAGTTAGCCAGGACCTGCTCGCTTTAAACTGGCTCCACATTAGACTTTTTTCTAAGGCTAATTGCATAGCCCGCACTTGGAGCAGTTCTGTCGTCACGGGCTGCTGTGCCGCTTGCTGCTCAAGCACATACTCGCCGAGCAGCTCTTCATTTTGCGGAAACCGACCCTGCTGTAGTCCACTGAAGCCTTTGTGTGAAGCTTTGCTGTCGACAATCTTCTGCTTTTGTTTCCGCCAGTCCTGCATGCACGTTTCAGGAACTCCGAACGACCGCGATGCGGCGCATTTCCGTCCGTGTCTACACACGCGATGACTTTTCTTTTAGAATCGACATCGTGGTGCACTCGAGTTTTTGGAGTCGGTCCTTCCATACCGTCGACGCTAATGCACTACAAGATGACGAACTCCTCAGAAGTTCCGCACATGGGAAACATATAGGCAGAAACGGCCATCGCGCCATGCCGACGCACCTAGGGGGCAGCCATTTTGGATATGCCGATGGCAATAGAATGACCGTATTCAGTTTTTTTTTTTCCATACTCGATTCTAATGCGCATGCAATTTATGAACTTTACGAAATCAGCAGAACTTTACGTGGTAAAGGTAAATTATTCCGTACATGACTTCCATATCATGATTATTATGTTTGGATGTTTTATTTACCTTTGTCACCTACTCACGTCACGTGATACTCGTGGCGGTGCTGACACACCCCTGTAAAGTTGTCTGCACCGCGTGGCGCACATGTCTCGCCCCAAGGCTTTGTTTCGGTGGTGACCACCGCCGGGCGATAGATGGCGTTGTGTTCGCTTTGAGTACCACTGTTGGTAGAGTGGTAGCGCCGGCGGTGGCCCCTGGCGGAAGGCAGGCCTTGGTGGTGGGCGAGAGTTGAGCGAGCCTCTTCTGCGCGTGGCGGCTGCCACAAACGGTTGTCTGTAGCGTGGGTCCCGCACCGCGGGCTTCGCGCCGGGGTCCCACGTGGAAAGCCAGGCGTTGGCGACGCCGCCTTGGGTATGTGTTAGTGCGCTGGGTGTGTTAGTGTGTTTATCATGTTATTGTGCGTTTAGTGTGTCACTGCGTTATGTTGTTTGTATGGTAGCGTGTTAATTAAAATGGATGTATCATTCGGCGGACGATATCGTCGTCTAAATCAGTTAATAAATGTATGTATGTTGTGTGCTATTGTACAGACCGCGTCTGCTGTGCCCATTCACTCCAAGAGGCTGGCGTGGCGAGGCGCTCGTTCGCCTCGCCGAGACCCCACACTGGCGCTCGTTTGCCTCGCCAAGACCCCACAAGTGGTGAAGGTCTGCGCGGCAACACAGCCCGCAGTGATTGCACGTCACTGTCGCAATGTCCGGTTGTCACCATTTTGCTAAAGAGTATGGTGTGTATGCAGAATTTGACTGGAAGATATATAGGACAGGTTTCTGAACCGCCCTATATTGGCCAGCTACAGTCGATCCCAACTATATCGAATCCGTTCATATCAAATTATCCCGTAATCGAACAATTCCTAAACATGGTAAGTTTACATTGAGAATATATCGCAAAAGTTACTGTTTTATAGAACAAAAATAGCAACGGCAACAGATATATCAAACTCCATGTGCCTCAAAAGTGCCCAAGCAAGTTGGCTTTCCCACGCGGTGGCGAGAAAAACTGCCGGCGCCACCCTAGAAAAAGTTGGTTAGACCCGGTTGTGCGAGGGCGGACACCCCCCTCCAAAAAATGATCTTGGCCTGCTCGCAGCGCTTACAGCCAATCAGAGGCCGTCGTGCTTTCTCCGAAATGCGGAGGCAGTAGAAGTGAGCGCCATTTTTTCTTTATGCTTGTGTGCCTACTGCTGCCTATTCAGCGTGGTCTGTGGTGTTGCCTGTTGGTGCACTGGGAACTGTATTGGCGCGCTGTCATCATGGCTTGTGCAAAGAGACAAAATTTGCCGTTCGCCACAAAGCTCGAAATCATCAATCGGGTTAAGCGGGGTGAAAAGAAGTCCGACTTCGTCGCCGCGTACAAAATTCCAAGGAGCACCTTGAGTACTATCCTGAAGAACAAGGCAGACATCAAGGCCAAGTCGGACAAAAGGCCAGGTGCCCGCGGCGCTCGACGTAGGCGCGCTGCTGTGTACGAAGTTGTTGAAGCGGCCGTTTACAAGTGGTTTGTGGACGTTCGGTCGCGAAACATCCCGGTGTCCGGCCCTATGATCGAGCAGAAAGCCAAGGACCTTGCTTTTCTGCTTGGTAGGAGTGATTTCCAAGGCGGTTCAGGCTGGCTTCAGGGGTTCAAAGAACGGCACGACATCGTTAACAAAGCTGTTACAGGTGAAAGCAAAGCGGCGGACCTGGACAGCGTACAAAAATGGCTCGAGGAAAACTGGCGAGATATCGCAGCAAGATATAGAGCCCAAGATATCTTCAATGCGGATGAAACCGCACTATTTTGGCAAATGTTGCCAAACAAGACACTTGCATGTCGTAGCGACAAGACAAGCGGCGGCAAGGCAAACAAAACACGTGTGTCCGTGCTGTTGGCAGCTAATTTAGACGGATCGAAAAAGCTTCGACCTCTGGTTATAGGGAAAAGCACAACACCGCGGCGTTTTTGAAATGCGCTGTCGCTTCCAGTTACTTACCGAGCAAACTCAAAAGCGTGGATGACCGGGGAGCTTTTCAGCAGATGGCTATCGTCGTGGAATGATGATTTGGTAGGCGAAAATCACAAGGTGTGCCTGCCCGTGGACAATTGTTCATGGCACCACTGCAGTACGACCTTCCGCAACATCGAGCTGCGTTTTTTTGCCCCCGAACACAACGTCTGTACTGCAACCACTGGTTCAAGGCGTTACCCGCGCAATGAAAGCCAGCTATCGGAAGCGCCTGGTGGAGAGGCGGCTGCAGAACCTTTGTGTCGGCAGGGAGTTTAAGATCGACTTACTCGGAGCTATTTCTATGTTGAGTAAATCGTGGGCTGATGTCAAGAAGGAGACGATCCAGAACTGCTTTAGGCATGCCGGCTTCCGCATGCCTGGTGATGACACCCCAAATTCTGAGAGCACTGAAGACACCGCAGGTGTTTCCGCCGAAGTTTGGAACGAGCTGGCAGAGTTCCCGGGTGCTATCGACGGATCGACATTCGACGAGTTCATCAGTGCGGATGATGATGTCCCCATCATGGGCCAAATACAGGGTGAGGATTACATTGCAGACGTCGTGCCGACCACGAGTCAAAGCGACAGCAATACTGAAATTGACGACGGCCCATTGCCTGCATCCTCCGAAGTGAATAGTGCATTTGCGTTGTTCCGGCGCTATTGCTTGAATGTGGAAGGTTGCGGCCTCAGTTGCTCCGACTCGTTGGACAACGTGGAGGCGTGCGTCCTGTCGCAGGCAGCGAAGTCGTTGACACGGCAAAAAATGCGGGACTATTTTATTCCACAGTAGGGCACGCAAGTAAGCCACCATATTAATAAAGTACTTTTCTTCTAGTTTGTTATGTGCCTTTGTGTCAAAACCTATACCGGGCCTATATCGAATTATGCCATATATCGAACTAATGAACAATTTTTGGCGAGTTCGATATAGCCGGGTTCGACTGTATTCTACAGTGTTTGTCCGCAGAAGCTACAAAGAAATGGTGAGTAGCAATGAAATTAAAGTTGCCAGTGCACTGTAGAGGCTGTGCCCAAATATTGGCAAGCAATATACTGAGCACATGCTTACAGAGTGGATTGCTTTCGCCAACTTTGTGCTTGAACGTGAGCGTTTGCAAAAGCTGACGGCTACAGACTTCTTGCTTTTTTCTGGCACATGATCTTAAAAAGCCATTTCCTGTCATGGCTTATTTAGCAGGTTCCTACCTTGCACTCCCACCACAATGTGTAGACTGTGAGCGAAACTTTTCAGCTCTGAAGCTAACTAAGACACAACTAAGGAGCCGCCTGAAACAGAAGTCACTGGACTGCCTTATTCGTATTGCATGCGAAGAACCTGACGATGACACCTACCCATATGACGAGGTTGTTGAAAAGTGGGCGATGAGCGAGAATAGGAGGCTGAAGGTGAAGCATGTCTGGGAAGAAGAAAGTGAAAATAAAGTGCCTTCTCGTATTTTGTAGTTGCACACTTAAACATCTGACCCGCTCTCGCTTGAACGGAATTTTGTATTTTCAATATTCGTTTATAACTCATAAAACACCCCCCCCCCCCCTCCCTCTCCCGTCCCCACCTATCAAATTTTTCTGGGGAAAACCGTGACATGGGCCATTCTGCACTTGAGCACTAACTATCGCCACTTTCCCTATGTTGCTGCAGGGTGGTGTGCCTTTGTTTAGGCAGAAAGAAAAAAAAAACCTTGATTTCCCCTTAGGAAACGCACCCCAGCTGATTTCCCAGAAGAAAAAAAAAAAATAACGATGTACCCATGTGATGTACCCATGTCCTGCATGGTATCGTGACACAATTCGCGACTCCAACTGAACGCTCGCCACCTAGTGGCTGCGCCTGGAAACGGTGCTATCACGGTCAACCTTGAAAGGAGATATGTTACCATGTTCAGCGCACTGAGAAGCGACCTCATAGTACCTTCATTTTCGTCATGAAGCATGTGCGAGCCCGAAAAAGAAGAAAGCTATGTCCAAGGACCATTGCAGTGTGAAGAAATGCATGGCATTGCGGTGGAAAGATCGCAACGCATCATTTTATATCACTTTCTGCGACAAAGAACCGCGTTGATCAGGAACTCTGACATTGAAAGAAGGTTACGGACACTACGGTAGTTTGTTCTAATGAATTCACTCTCGACTTCATTCTCCTCGGTGAGTACGCCATTATTTAGCTTGTGAGCATTCTTATGAATATTCGAGCTTCTCTAAGCGCGGGGTATAGTTTCGGTTATATAAGCAAGTGCTTTAAGAAATTTTTTACTTAATGGAGCACTGACATCAAGTTTCAAGATCCAGATGTGCCCATCATTCGATCACTTGGTATGCATAGGTCTTCTTGGCCAAATTTGATTGGCGTCCGTAGCGTTGAAGTTATTTTATTTCGGCATCAAACAACATAGAAAAGCTAAGGTGAAAAAACGAAAAATAGACTGCCTTGCGACATCAACACCAGTGCTACGTGTTTGGTGCGATACACTCCACAAATACCACCCCGAGTGATGATTCGCTAGTAACGATGACGTCGACGATCTCTGAGTGTGTTTGGAGCCGACTCCGAGCCATGGAAGTTTCCTACCTTCATGCTCCCAGCCATGTTCTCACTAGTGGCTCTCCTTGCTGTGTTAAAGCGTGCGTGCGATTCATCCTGTCGCATCAACTGATTTGCGTTGTGCTCCACTGCGTGTGAGTACGACCATTAAGAGCGACAATATGTGCCAGAATGTCGGGGAACCGCTGCGTAGCGAGAACCTGCACGACGAGGTGCGGAAAAAGCGCAAAGTGCATGGTGTTTCCTGCCTTTCCAAGCCACGTACCTCAACGCAGCCAGTGGGTTGACTTTGTATGTGCCGTTGAACAGAGCAACTGCACGCCTGTGAAGAAGAGCCTTGTTTTCTCCCTTCCCTTTACAGCGAGCTGCTACAGGGTAAATTCTGTGTTTACGAACCAGTTGTATTTTACTGGCAGTACGAGGCCTCTTCTCGAGGCCGGGGCTATTCCTACTGTGTGCCCTGCTGCAGCTGAAAGCGGCGATTCACTGGCCAGACGTCCGCGACATGAGGTGTGTAGTTGGTGTTCTTGATCTCCGACAGTACGGCCGGGACTGATAAGTACATTGCATTTAACGTGGAGCTTGTCAAGCAAGGATCGTCGCGAATGGTAGCAATACCCAATTCCAAATCGCTGTCATCATCACTTGCCGATGTTGACCGCGATGACGGCAAGGACGACAATGTTGGCGACAGAGGAATGTCTACACCTTCAGAGACGCAGCTGCACTGACTGTACAGGCACTTCTACCAGACGAAACGCCAGTGTGTCATCACCATTTTTTCTGTGGAAGCGGCACAAGCTGTGCAGCGCCCTCGACGTGGCCACGAAGTAGCGCTGCCAGCACAATTTGGCGGGCTTTCCACTCATTTTCAACCGCGTTCGATAGCGAATATATTTATTAATATTACAGATACTCATTCGTCACTCAGATGCATTTTAGGTGATGAATCGCTACTGGGGAGTCGATAGATATTCGTTGACGCAAAAATCTTGACATGAGTAAATTTGATGCCAGTGCTCCTTTAAGCGCGTGACTATTTTTCGTATCTAATTCTGTTCTGGCAAACTGTAGTGCTACCCATTCTCAAATTAAGATGCGGCAATCCTTCCACCAATTATTTTTGATTTCGCATGTGCATATAAACACTCACACCCACACGTGAACGAAGGTCCTTGGGCATAGCGTATATGTATGTATATTCATGCGTACCATGTTTTGCATTCGTAGCATGCATAGTGTGTGTGCATAGAGTTAAACCTGGATATAACGACACTGTTAAATTCCCGGGGAAATTCGTTATAAAAAATATTTCGTTATATGCAGGTTCGGCACGAAAACTCGACAAATAAACAGACAAATTAAATAAACGGGGAACTGAAGGCAGAGCTAACCCAAAACACTTATTTTACAGTAAAAAAACTGCGATATTATTGCAATAGCAATCGTATGGACGCTTTTGGCAGGTTTTTGCTGTCACTGCCATGTTCCGTAACAAGTCCAAATTCATAACATGCCCCCGCCCATTATAACTTTCAAGAGTGGGCAAAAGCGTGCGAGCGCTGCTGAAGCAGAGATCAAAAAAGTTGGTCCATCCCTATCACCTGAAGAGTGCATAAGATTTCCGTTTTGCATGTCCCACGTGTTTAAACTGCTGTCGAATGGTTAAGCAGAAAGTAAACCACTCGTCTTGAACGAGCATGAAACAACGCGTGGGGAAGAGGGGGGAACCGCTCGAGTAGCAATAATGCTATATGAATCAGTATCAGAGCTGTTTCAATGTGAAAAGACTGTGAAAAGAGCACTTCTCCCTGCCGTGTTTGCTCACACCATCGTTTTGTACGAGTTCCGCGATATCAAATCCAAAAGAGCTGGCTGCCAGCCTTACTTCTTATAACAAAAAAAATTTTTCGCTATCGCGTTCACTGCATTGCGTTCAATTCGCCGTCATGTTGCCAGAACTAATCGGCTAATTGCGAAAGCTACCAGGCTGCGAACTCGCGATGCGATGCAAAACGGAAGCAGGTGACGAGCAGACCTCCGAAATCCTTCGTCACCGTGGTTTGCGAGAGTTTCCCTCAGCGCCTGATGTGACATCCTTGCGGTAATAAGAACATGATTATCCAAAAGTAAAAAAAGTCAGTTTCGCCACAAGGCCGCAGCAATGAATGCGATAACAACTTGGAATGCAACGCTGAGAACGGCAAGCAGATCGAAACGTGCTGCGCGCTACTCATGCAAAGGTCAAGAACGAACTAACAATGTTTACCGCTCGACACTTAAGA